TAACCAAGTGATCTCTTGGATTTGCTATAAGGAACTTGCATGGTTGTCTTGAATATGCAAGCTGTTTGTGGGATCCACATACAGAAAAGCAAATCAATGACATTGAAGGTGTGCAACAACAAGCCACTGGTTGTTCTGATCTCCCACCCAAGTCTGTGACCAGTCTCTTGAATGGGCTACAGTGGCCCTCCCTGGGACTGTGTCAGAAGGAAGCCAGACTCAGCATGATGTATAAAGCTGTCAATAGGAAGACAGCCGTCTAGATTTCTGAATATGTTAAACCCAAGCAGAGAACAGCTAGGCAGTACCATCCCATGAAATTCACACATTTAGCTCCGGCAAGCAATATTTACAAATTCAACTTTCATGCAAAAACTCAGTATACCAGAGTGGAACTCACTTCCTGCTAAAGTGATAGACCAACCAGCTGTTGAGACGTTTAGGGTCAGTCTCATCTCTTTTTTTATCCCAGAAGTGATTTAGTTACATTTATTTCCTTTATATCTGTGGTGATGGGTTTATCCCTTTGTAGATTACAAATGTAGATGTACAGTAGATATAAGCATGGTTTTGACATTGCTGAAAACTGTTAGTCAGAATTGTACTTTTTTCGAGAAGAGCTTGAGCTCATTTTTGTCATTCTTTGTAGGGAATGGTTGTTGATCCAACTGAGGATTGGGAACAACTTGTGAGTATTCTTCTGATGTAATATTTATTTATTTATTTATTTATTTATTCAGTCCAGTTTTTTTAAAGGTATTTTTAGTGTGCAACCAGCATAGTTTTTCTAGAGAGCAGCAATGAGAGAGTTATGCGCTGCAGAACATTATTTCAAATTATTATCATCTTTCTGACTACAAAAGTTGACATAGAGAGCTGCTGTAATCTTTCAGTAATTCATTTACTGCTTCTCACTTGAAGGGTGGTTAATGAAAAATAAATTGACTTTTGAATAATGTCAGCCATTTCAGGTACTTTCTGAAAAACAGTAGAATTGCTAATGGCAATTAAAGTGCCCATAATGTCAAAACTTTTTTTTGCTCATCTAATTTTACATTTCACCTAATGAGCTTCTGCGAAAAAATTTTTCGATTTGGATGAAACGCAATTTTTTTATGAATCTTTACAAAGTTCAAAATTCTATTTTCTTGCGGTCGACCCCTACCACTGATCACAAGAATAATGAGCTCAAACTGGCCACGTGACTGATGCCTGTGACGTAGGTTCAGGAACCTACGATGAAGACTGATGTCGTTTTCTGGATCATTAATGCTGTTACAAAGAGCGGCAACACACCTTTCCAGCATTTTCAACTAAATGTAGACAACTCCAAAGTAAAATTTCCACTTGCTTTCAAGTCAGATAAGTCGTGACCCAAATCACGTGTTCCTGAACCTACGTCACGACTCACTTCAAACCGAGGGAGACTGGTGCGAATGGTGCACCAAAATGGCGGCAAATTTGAACGTCTTTAAAAACTAATAAAAAAATTGCATGTTATCCAAATCGAAAAATTTTTCGCAGAAGTTCATTAGGTGAAATGTAGAATTAGATGAGCGAAAAAATTTTTTTGACATTATGGGCACTTTGATGTCTTTTAAAATTGTTTTGTAGGAAATATTGAGGCAGGAAGTGTTAAGTGGGGGAACAGCAGCTGTGGTAAGTTTATTTTGACCCAAGTGTTCTTCCCAATTCCAAGATCCAAATACATGACTGTCAGTACAATTCTTCATGCTGATTGTAAAACATCTATTTTTTCTCACTAAGACCAGGCATATTGAGGCTAGTGAGTGGAGTGACCTTCTGTAGTAATAATAATAATAATAATAATGATGATAATAATAATAATAATAATAATAATAATAATAATAATAATAAT